CAACCCAAACAAATAAATTGGTCAATCAGTTGACTGACCGGTACCAGCGTTTCGGCTCGTCTTTCACCTGTCGTGTTCATGGTGGTCCTGGTTGACGGAAAATATTACGTGCCATACTCATTGTAACTCTGCAGACGAACCGAGATTGGTCCGAAATGTCAGAAGACCATGTTAGTCAAAGAATATTTTATGCTTTATGCCCTCTGTGATATACCAAAGCACCATATCATCTGCCGCATGAATAATCGTGTACCATATTCAATATTATGTTGAATATAAATACTCAACTCGTAATACAATCTGTTTTTTTATACCATATTCTTGACAAACGCGTGTGATCATTACTCCAGATTTTAATTTATTAATCAGTTCTAATTTTTGTTTTATAGGCAAATGTGAGTTTTTCCATTTTTATCCATCGTATAACAGTTGTTAAAAAATCTGATACACAACAGACCAAGCGCTCATATATACTGTTTTTATGTGACCGCGTCTAGCTGGTTCAATAATTAAATTAAGTTTCAACGTGATCTAGTCCACACTTATCACTAATCAAGTTTACAAATTATTTTTAACTTAAATTACCATGTTTTGTGAAAATTTTGTTATTGGCTCCGTATAAGGCGATATATCTGTCAGTTGCCTTTCTGAAATGCACTTACGTTATTGTGCTTGTAGAATTCAGATTAATTTTATAAGGAGCATGAAAATAAAAGCTAACTAATCTGATAAATTCTCTAAAAAATGACATCGTACAATTTTAGGCACGTGACTACTACCCTGAACTTAGCCAGGAGCGACTTTACTTTAACCGGAACGTTATCTGTCAATGAGATTTGTGTATTTATAATATTAGAAATTAAATCGTAGTTATGATTTCGCAATGCCACATGATTAGCAAGCAGGAAACAGCCAAAAGCCGTTTGAATCCAACATTAAAAGTTTTACTCTATGGTAGTTTGAATCTCAATCTGGAGAACTTGTTAACTGTTGGTAAATCAGAAACATTTAAAAAATATCATGAGACTGATTCTACCTATAAAATGCGCAATACAACAGTTTCTGGTGGCTATATTTAAAATAGTGAGTAAGACTGCATTCCGAACACAGTCGCAGGATCCTGACCAGCTGTAACTCATACAGTATGTTGAAATAGTTGTAAATACATAGTCTTCGTTACATGCTGAGTCGAATTTGGTACTCCCTCTTGCAGAGACGAGGGGATTAGTTCAGGCTCAGTCTTTCGAAGTGATCGAAAAGAAAAGAGCCGCATTTTATAAATCGGCCGACATCCCATGAGAAACATAATATCGGATGTGACAGTAAAACGAGTTTAATAAATAACAGACTTTCAAACTACGCAAGAGCGTCATGTATAAGAATAATGACTACGGGTCACACCATAAAACCATGTCGATAACAACTCCGGAGAGGTACTCGCCAGTCATAAAAGTTAAAAATTTCAAGTGGAGTATGACCTGGATCTGCGAGTTTCCGAAGACTCTTGGCTCTTTTCTGATTTCTCCGTGCCGTCCTCCGCTCGAGTCTGCGGTTTCACGCTGTCGCCTGAAGCGTCATAGACGTAAAACGCCTGTTCCGTGCTCATCAGGTCAATTTCTGGGTCCTCACCCCTGGGTTCAAACGGCTCCATCGGAAGTGTAAGGACGCGATCTTTCAATTCATGAAAAAATTTTGCAACAGGGGACGTCTGCGAAGCTTCGTCTGCCGTTTGTTCGGGCACCTCTGGAGCTTCGTAAAACGCTTGCTCTGTGACCATCAGGTCGATTTCGACGTCTTCACCTCGAGCCTCCAGGGGCTCAAACGGGTTGTTCACGATGGCATCTGATACCCTTCGGATCGTGTCCAGAATGCCGCCTACACGACTGTGTTTCTTTTCCTCTGGTTGCTCAGAGGGAACTTTCTCAAAATTCTCCTCGCATTCCTAAAATCAGTACACGCTATTTTAAAGTAACCAAAGCCTGAGGTACAATCAGCTATGACTGCTCAGAGCTGAAGTATTAATGGTCAAGAAACATCTATCTGTAGCTGAATTCGTCAGGCACATAGGATAAACTGGTATGATGAGGCTTGTACATCAAGCAGCTACTACAAACAACCTGGTAGCACTTCACCTTGTCATCGATGAACATCACTCCAAAATAGAGTTGATAACCGGAGGCAACTTTGGCACCATTTATCGCAGAAGGGAAAAATACTTACCATTCGCATTGCCTCAGTATGTCCACAACTTAATCAAAAGGATAAACGGATTCTATCACACTGGATAGTCAGCAATTAGGTGAATCAATGTGGATTCCGATTCATCTCTCATCGATTCTGATTAGCCACACCAGAATAACATGTTGCCTCAGTGTTCGCAAATCAACGATCAGTTTCTCAGTTAGTTTCAGTGAAGGGAAGTTAAGTGGTGGCTTAAAGAAATTGGCTAGCAAGGGAATTTTGGGACTTGAGCCTACAACTTTCACAGTTGCCAGCCAATCTTTTACCACCGTACAACCGCATCTCCTTTTATACCTTCAGAGGATCAAATCTCCGAACCAGTTGGTTGACCTTCATTGTTGAAGCTTTGCTTTTGTTCTCACTCACGTTTCAAATATCTGTAAAGCGAATGATCTTTCCTATTTGTTCTGACTGCTAAATAACGAATCTGAAGAACAGAAAACTCGATACTGCTTTCGACGCACTACTGAAACATTCATCCCTGAAGATTAATGTAAATTTTTAATTCGCACATGTTCAGTTTACAATAAAATATCTAGCGTATTGAAAACATGGGAATAAACAACTTTACATCAAGATGTTTGTCGAAAAAACAAGTAAATCCGTCTTACCTGGGAACCAGGTATTTCCTCCATATCGAAACGAATAGATGTCTCACGATTGAGGGCGACCTATGCGATCGCCGTCTATGAATTTGTCGACTGACTGCGCGTATATCGCACAAATGGGGTCACGATCAACAACGTCTCTAGCCACGTGCCCAATGGATTGCACTCATGATAAACAGCATCTGATTGGTCGACTACGGGGTAAATATTGACGTATCGCTGATAATGCTGACGCTGCAGGGAATGGATATGGAATGAGTGAAATTTCAAATCTTGCAGCAATGACAGTAGTAAGCAATACCTCGATGCACTGACTTAGGTTTCCTTCCAGGGCGCATATAAAGAATTACCTTCTCGCAATTGCATATGCAAAAATTTTACATATCAATCAATCGATACCTTTGTTCTGTTCTGCCAAGTCACTGATAATCAACGATAATTATTCCGCTCCACATTATATGCAGGCATTTTAACATCCAGCGAAGATAATTTTTATTCTATTGGATTCTAATTCTCAGCCAGCCTTACTCTAAAATTAATTCATATGATTCTGCGGCTTGACATTTGAAGTTAAGGTGAGTAGCAACGGTCATTTTTTCAGCATTTGCTGTTCAGATTCCTTAGTACCCAAATTTCCCTGATATAAATGTTTGTACTTCTCGCTTGACTCGCATAAATGGGGATGTATCTGTAGTCATACACCTACAGCTCCCTCTCCTTGGGGCTGATAAGATGACATAAGATTATATTTTAAAAGTTTAGTAACTACTAGTGAAGTAGGATTCTTTAAAATATAAGGTATTGTAATGGTGACAGATTCTTTTTCAGCAGAACCTTCTAGAAGACCTAGGTTCTTCACTGAAATAAAAGCTTGCATAGCATTTAGACATTTTTATCTGTTATATAAATAGGTTGAAATGGAATTGCACAGGTGCGATCACTGCTGAGTTCAAAGCACGATCTGCAACAACCTTTGACCTCAAATGCCGAACCACTAGTCGGCAGAACAATCTTGGTGTAGTTGGTCACTGAATGGAAGAAAAGCTTTAACTGCTTTAGGGCTCATAATTCGATTGGAAGACGATAAATTGCATTAACTTTAAAGTTGTACAATACGTGGTTAAAATAAACTTATAATCGACATTGATTTATCAGTTTTGCTCATTGGCAGTATTAGCCTCTCGTTCTAAAGTGAAAGTGAAAGATGCCTGCTTGAACAATGATGTCAAAGTAACACTCTCTTTTTGCACCGGATTGGAGCGGCTTAATGGCCTCACCCCCTTGCTTGTAGTCGACTAGAGGACCATTTAAGCAGACCATGGCTCCATGGTATTTGAACACCTGCAGTGCATGGGTGCAGAACTTCATCACTAGGCAGAACGGAACAAAGGCCTGTTCGGACACCTGCAGATATGCCACGATCCGTGGTCATATTTATACATAAAAGACAGACCCTGCCTATTGATGCGGTTCGGCATAATAGGTGCTCAAATACACTAGAATCGTTGCCTGCTTAAATGGTCTCTTAGGCGACTAGAAGTAAGGGGAGAGTCCCATTACACCACGTCAATCCGGTCTTAAAAAAGAGTGCTATTTCTCTTAGCGGCGGTATCACTAGCAGT